GAAAAGAAGTTATCAGCACTGACTGGTCAAGAAATCTAATTTGGCGACAACTGAATGAACTGCGAAACGATGATAAGCAACAGTTTGTAGAGATGAATGGATGGGTAGGCCAATGAACGGTGACGACGATGATGGTTAAGCAGCAGTCCAGCAACCGAGTTGCCTATTTCTCAGCAGCAGTAGTAGCACTTAAAGTGTTCTTCAGATCCAGTATGAATGAGCCGATTAAACCTTTCGTTTTTGGTTTTTTAAGGGGGAGATTACCACATCGACTTTCCAATATGCAACTAATCAAGATCAATCTAATCTCCCCCTAAAGTAAAAAGCAAACGGTATCAGTAGCAGGAGCACGAGCAGTAACAAGCAGGGTTGGTTCTCTACGCAAAAAAGCAACCCGATTTATGGCTGAGAAGAAACTGAGTGAGTGGCTGAGGAAATAATAACACAACAACAGCATACGCATCGGTTGGGGTGGCAACGCCATTTTCAAAACCCCTAAACCCTAATACCGCTCCGCCCAAACAAAATACTATCACTCTCTCTCAGCCTCCGTCGCTTTTTTTTGTTGCCGTTCCCGTTGTCGCTAAGGACGGTCATGGTCGCCGTCGCTATCGCTACTGCCTTCACAACGGACGCCAGTGTCGCTGTCGCCGTCGCTGTCACAGCCATCACAATCATCACTGTGCATGTCTGCCTTCCATACGACGAGAACACAACAGCGATTATACGCGTGCACCGAGGGAGACCATCTATCCATCAGTCCGTTTGTCTGTCCATCCGTCCACCACTGTGACTGATACACTCTTTCAGTTCAGTGCTGTCTTCACAGATAACAACTAGACTAACACACTCAACAAGGTTCTGTTTTGCAAATAAAAGGAAAACAACCTATCTGAAGTGCCCTTCTGTAAACATAGAATTTCTGCAATTCCTAGCAGCTGTTTCGATCTTGAAGAAACAGCGAAGAAGATTTGCTGTTATGTAGCTGTTCAGTAAACTCTCCCAAAAAGCTCTTTTTAATTTATCGAAATAAATGACCAAATATAGTAAAACCAATATGTTGCGCGATTTTGCCACTTTTGTTTCGGTAAAATGAGAGCAAGAAGAAAAAGGAAGTTGATTCTTTTGGAAATCAAAATAGCCGAACTAATGCTTGAAAAAGCCAAATTTGGATTGTTCAAAAAAAGGTCAATAATAAAACAAGGAGCAGAGAAAGAAGGAGTCTCACAGCACTGAAGTTTTTTCAAATCTTTTGAATAATTCTGCTTTCTTTCTGCAGTTCCTTTCTCCTCCAAGCTTTTTTCAACGTTCTGTTTAAAGTTTTTAGCATGAACAGGAGCAATAAAAACCAATGAAAAAAAAAAAGAACTGGAGAAAACTCAAAATGTTAATGTGAGCTAATTTGAAATTCATAAAAGAAGAAGTTTGATAATAGGATAATTTCCGAGAAAATACACAGACCAAAAAAAAAAGAAAAAAACTAGCTCCTCTTCTCCTTGAATCTTTTTTTTTTTTCAAAGAAAAGCATCCACCACCAGACTGCTTTTGTCCATCCATTCACCTGCTTCATTCTATGCATGAACTGCTGCTTCATCCAGTACAGCCAATTACCAAACGATTCCACCACCATTCACTCATTGATTCTCATTTGCGGCTTCAGCAATCCCATCAGTTGAGCCTCCTCAACAATCAACTTCAGCTCTTTCCACCCTCAAACACTTCATACCAACAAACAACGACCACCCACCTGAGCCATGTGATAACCAAAAAGAAAATTAGCACTGCTATCCAAGCACAAATCCCCAAAACTCAGCAGATTAGTGAACGAACAGAACGGAAACCGACAGACCGACGAAGTGTAGGCGAACATGCCAGAAGAATTTGAGTCAAAGCACATAAAAAAAATGAAAAAAATTACATATACGGAAATTATGATGAAAACTTGTTGAAGAAACTGGCAAAAAAAAAAGAAAAAGAAAAACCAAGAAAAAATAAAACTAGCCAAATTTATTAAGGCAAGAAAGACAAAGATAAACAAAACAAAAAAAAAAAAAAATCAATTATTCAACAACAAATTACAAATACCGTTCATATGATGTTTTCATAATTCATTCTCAAAAACGGTAACCTGTCTAGTTTTCTTGACTAATAACAGTATTGATGCCAAAAAAAAAAAGAAAAAAATGAAAAAAACAAGCTTATTCTGCTGCAATCGCTAATAGGACTATTAAACGGTAAAACGTTAAAACAAAAAATCAGTTATATAATTGCGGAAATCACAGATGTACAAATGTTCGTATAATTCTTTATTTTCTAAATGAACAAAATCAAAAGAGAAAAAAAAAAAAACAAAAAAACAAACAAACAAATAAACAATAAGAGAAGACAGAAATTTTGCTTGTAAATCAACTCATTTATCACTTTTATACAAAAAAAAAAAAATCAGAAGAATTCAGGTGGGTTTTAAGGAATGAAAAGAAGGAAGGGGAAGGAGAAGATGAAAGCAAAGAAAAAAAAAACGGGTGAAGATGGAAAAAGATAGGAAAAAAAAAGACATAAAAATTTCAATAAATGAAAATAATTTTCAGTTGAAAAGCAAAAAAAAAAAAAAGAAAAAAAAATTAAAGAGAAAAATGAACGACTATTGACTATATTTATGCATAAAGACGAAAGTATAAGGATGAAATAAAAAACATCATTTTTTTTTTTCTCTTTTGTTCATCCACTAAACAAAAATGCCGTTATTTTTTTAGACGAAGAAAAAAAAAAGTGAAAATAATCACTGTCAGTGTATAAATAGATAAAAGAAAGGGGAAAAAAAAAAGAACAGAGCAGGAAGGTTGCACTGACACATTGTGCTGTTCCCAGAAAAGTTTTGAGAGTAAGTTTAGATCAAGTTTTATGCTATTACTGTTTAACAATAACATCATAAAGTTGTATGATTGCTGCAGCAGCAACAGCAACAGCAACAGCAACGGCAACAGCAGCAGTAGCAGTAGCAAAAGTGCGAACTGATCCAAAGGAAACTACTAACTGCCAACGAGGAGCGCAATACCAAACTGTTGCTCTCTCGTCGACGATTGCAACAACGCTCTGAAATTGGCGGCCACTAAGGCAGCAGGCAACAAACAATGTTGCTGAATAACTCTTTGGCGTTTACAATTTCAGGGAAAGTGAATGGGGTCAAAAAAAGAAGGAAGAAGAAAAAAAAAATAGAAATAAAAAATAAAATGCTTCATATAAGCCATCAAAACAAAAAAGATGGACATAAAAAAAAACTGTGCTCTTCAACAGATTTATTCTAACAACGATTAACGCCGATACATTGATATCACACTACCGTCTGTACGTCTACTTTATCGTAAAGCATATCATTATTATCAACTTTTAAAAAAAGTTGTTTCTTTTCAATAAAAAAAAAAAAAATAGAAGTGAGAAAAAAAAAAGATGATAAATGTCTTTTTTTTATCTGTCACTGATTTAAGAACAACTGAAACTTCAAAATTATTGTACATTTAAGAACTGAGCTAAGAAAATAAAATAGTTAATTTAGTTATGTGAAATGTCTTTTTGAAAACAATAGTTTAAACATTCCAAAACAGTCCCCCGTCAACAAAGCATGAAA